CATCTTGTACTCAAGCCCTCTCTCTTGTTGGGCCATGAATCCGGGGCGTTAGGGGCCTCAATTTCTTGCCCCGTAAATTCTCTCTTGGAATCTCGATGACTGTATTTTTTTGTCCCAGTCCCAGAAATGGAGCCAAATCCAGCTGATTTGCATTTTTTTTGTACAAGTGAATGAGCTTTCTGAGAATTGGAATAGGGAACAAACAAGGGTTTAGCATAATGGAATTAAAGATAGATGAAAGAATGCCAAATTTCGATGACAGTTGACGCAGTAAAGGATTGATGGATAGATAAGGATGCTTGTTTTTGGTGTGTGTGTGTGTGTGTGCGCGCGCATGTGTGTATATAAATAAGAAGCATATTAAAGTTGCGTCCTAGTTAGATATGGGTCCTAAAAGATCAAATACTGGGATTGAAAGTTTAATGCCAGCTTCCAAAATAACCTTTGTTGAAATTTGTCCTAAATTCCAGTTTTTCACATTTCCTCTGGTTGTATGATATGCTTCACGCCCTCGAAATCCGATCAAGAAAGAATATGATGAATCAGACATTATGGGGACAATCGTCATAACCGTTAATCCCATTTTGGTATTGGCGAAATGTGTCGCAGGCGACACTTTAGGATGAGCGTTGGCATTTTAGTGTATTTATAGTTGGGGCCAATATGGCCAAAGAACCTGTGCGAATTCGACACGAAAGATTGGTTGATGATCACAGCACCCTTCAGCATAAACCCTCATATCATGTTTCCAGGGCTGGTCCTCTTGGAGAGGCACGAATACGCCAAACTTATCCGTTCCTTGTGACCACAGCCGCCAACGATCTCTCAAATTCACCTTTGTCTCGAAATGTAACAAGCTCATGCGTCAACCTTGGCCTACAATTTGTCGAAAAACGCATTGTTGCGATCGGAATATGCCTCTCTTCTTTCCTTTCCTTGTTCGGGTGCCAATTGCTAAGGCGCCCATTCGGTGATACTCAGGCCCGTCGAATTTATATGATTACTCATTCTACTACTCATTACATCGAAACTTTTTATTACAGTTGAAAGCCGGATGGAGTGTTGTTTCTTCCCGATGTAAGCTATACTTCGTAGAACTCCGTAACTCGTTTTTTTCCCTTTTAACTTCATTCACTTCTTCACCTGACATATTTGTTGGTCTTTAACGTTTCGTACATTTCTTGAGAAAATATGCAATCATGGCTCTACTATAGATTGGAATCTATTGTTCACAGTTATAGATTGCGAACAAATAAATAGTTTTGACGGCAATGGACCACATATTACACGTTTTAGGGATCACTACAATATGGGGCAGTTATTTGCTATCAGGCGTCTCTTTTGTAGGTTTATGTAAAGGATGTTTTTTGTTGAGCTCTAGGCAGACGTGAAAATGCTGCTTCAGGACAGCACAGCTCGCGTGTTGAGGACTCCAAAGACCAAAGTATGAGGCCTCGCGATGCAATAGAATTTTGCGAACACGAAAAAAGGTTGTCTTTTGAGGAATGAGGCGCTTACTTTGCTCTCGAGCAAAAGTGGATTATGAATAGATTCATGGACCGAGCTCATCCCTTAGTGATGGAAAAACCTCGTCTGCCAAGTGTTATTTGACCTAGAACCAAATTTTTATATGTCCCAACCAATGTATACTACAGTTTTTAACTTTTTTTGGTCACTGCCTTCCTCTGACGACCAAAGTACTAGTTAATAGAGTTCTGATCAAATCATGGGCTTGCATGTATCAAATCATAGGGAGTTGTGTCTCCGGGTCAATGCTCCCACTTTCTCTGACTGAATAAGATACTACTCGCGATGAAGGAAAGCGATGATTCTGATAGCTGCGAAATGACCATTTTATTTTCTGCTTGCTGTGCCTTTTCGTCAAATATGGTAAACTTTTAAATATATAATTAGAATGATTTCACACTGATGCTTCGAATCTTAACATTGATGCCACACAAGAGTTATCTAGTACACTCTTTGAGGCACATATATTTCCCGACAGCAAAGAGACAGGTGAACACTTATGCTTTACTCAAAGAGAGGTATTATTTATGCCAAAACCTAAACTATGGCAGTTGATAGGAGAACTTTGATCAGTTTACCATTCAATCACTTGGAGTTTTCCTCCCAGCGACTTCATGAAAAGTTGGCTTATTTTTGTCGAATGGGCTCACTGTTCAAAAAAGTGCGTTTGTCTCCATGCTCCGCTTAGGAAGGCTGTTTATTCCATATTAAGGGCAAGAGACCGTCATAATTTCGAGATCTAATTTGCGACATTTATTACCTTATTCAAACAATTCAAAAATAAATTCTCTGGAGAATCGAAAAACACATAGATCCATCAAATTACTTTCTATAACAATAATGAAAGGTGGACATTTGATTTTGTTACCACTTATTTTGTAAACAATTATCTACAGGCCGAATCAGTTCGGCCGAATACGGCTCCGCGAGCCGAGATTTCACCTGAACGGGTCTCTATTCGATACCCAAAATCCCATTTAAAGCGGCACAATGTGGCTATAGACTTATTGGTGAGAGCTTAATGTGTATTTCGCCTGTTCTGCCCAATAGGCGCACATGCATTCAAGAAAGTGATACTGTTGGATTTCTTTCGTTGACAGCCAATTTTGTTCATTCCTTCGATCACAACGTCGGTCAATTGATAGCCAAAGTGATAACAACATTATCCAAATCAGGAAATTTTATAGCAATACATAGAAATGGGCGTCTTGAACACATGCAATTCATAGAGTATGATCCTAGGATTTAGGCGCAAGATCCGGTGATCTATGGTTGGGTTGCAATCTACTTACACTACATTAAATATAGTGCTAGTGTTTCGGCAAATTATTGGTGTTGCTGAAGAGACTGAGAATAAAGCAATTCGTACAATACACTCAACCGTAGATGCCAACTGTCCCTCCGGCCCATGAGAACGGACCGGGTACAGTCCAGGAAGTCAGCAAAGCCATTATTAACATCGAGTCAGAGCTCATCAAGAAATAAACACACCTTTATTTTAAGCAGAGATTAAAGGTATAAACATGCATATATATACAGGAAAGAAGAAGAGGGCCATGTTCATACAAAGACAGGAAGTAGTAAGTAAAATAATCGCAGAATAGATATAAAGTAATATGAAATAGGTCAAAAAGGGAAAGTAAAATAATATAAGATGTATTCACCCTATTTCAATCAAGGTCAAGAAGGACTGGTGGTAGAATTTTGCCACAATAAGATGAGCTAAGGCCTTAATTAAAGTTCACATTAAATTGATTGCTCAGAAGTGCTTTAAATCCAGGGTGGAGTTATGATTCGAATTCGACTTGGTAGTAACAAGACGCAGTCCGAGAGACAAAATATGAAGCCACGTTGAAAAATTGGCTGAGATGTTGACAAGACTAGCTCAGATGCAGCAATTGCAAAAAATGAATCACGCAAAACGTGTTAAAAATGAGATGACATGTG